AAAATATGAATTGAATAATAAGCTTTCGAATAATTCGATTCAGGAATCGAATTCCTAATATTTGGTTAACCAAACATTCAATCTATTTGGCAAGTGAGGCTTGACTGGCGGAGATCTGAGAATGGCTTTCCTCCCCCCCTTCTGGGTTCTGGCGCACAGTGGTGTTGAACTTCCAAATATGCGAGACATATTTTGGGTCCACCATTTTGCATGCACAGGTAATTCAAGATAAACGGCATCCTTTCAAGAGCAAATTAAATACTGAATATTGTGATGCTGCATCTCCACTTTCAATAACCTCCGAATCGCAAAATACTCTGAGAGCCATAACCCTCCGACATGATTACACTTTGTTCCCATGCACCCAGATACATAGCTAAGGGGCAAGGGGGGGGGGGGGGGGGGCATGGGGCCTCCTTCCCCCTTCCCCAAAATATTCCATTTTGCTGGGGCCTCCTCTTCCCCATCCCCCTCATACAGCATTTCGTCATAGGCAAGCAGCCCCCCCCCCCCCTCCGAAGCAAAATCCTGGCTACGTGCCTGCATGCACTCAACAGATAGATAAAAAAGGTAAATGAAGGGTGTACATTATAAGCCAATTATTTTATTATGCTGAATCACTCATGTTCTATTGTGCAAATCAATAAACATGATGAAAAGCAGACAAGACAGTGGTGCATCTGAGACTGAGGCTGCAATCGAGCGGGGGGGGGGGGGGGGGGGGCGTTTTTACGAAAGGAGCACATGGTAAACAAGCCTCAGAATGGCAGCCAGCATTTCGCTCAGAAGCTACATATCTCAACGAAACTTTAGTGCTGAGGATCCAACTGGTGCTCGCGTCTCATACATAAATGTAGAAATTTATGGATATTTTTATTTACCTCTGCACGAATTCCAGCGTTGCAGCAACCTCACTCGGGTATTGTATGTTCAGACAATAATAGAAGGCGAGCATGAGCTCGATTGCCTCCAGCAAGCTTAGTTGCTCAAAGCACTGCTCCCTGCCCACGGCCAGGAGGCATTGCCCATCAAAGATGCTTCTACCTGAAAAAAAAGTGCAGTATAAATAGTACATGAATATTTTCAATTTTCTTCCTATAAAGCTAGCACCAATTGTGAAAAAGGTTACTGTTATGCCAAGGTGTAAATACCCGCAGATATATATATATACTATGAATGGTTCAGTGTTATCATGAACGTCTTAAGCTCACAGAAACCAGGATGTGTGACGCTGCAAGTCAGTGGTGCCAGTGTGGTTTAAGGAAGTTGTTAACCCAAATAAAATTACTTTAAAGGGGACAGGACATACACAATACAATTCAGAACATTGAGGAATCTAATAATTACATAACATTTTTTTAATGTTAGCGGTTTGCATCTGGTGACCAGGCAACCTTGACACAACTGACATAAATTGCCCACCTACTGTGGCAACGACAGCTCATCTATGAACCACGTGACTCTGACTGAAAAGCTGAACAATCTCTTTCATTGTCCTCTACCCATGTTTGCCACGCCACGCCTGTCCACTACTCAGGCACTGAACCCATTTCTTTCTCTGCCGTTTCCTCCCAAAGCTGACATTGGCTTGAAAGAAGCAAGCCATACCAGATATTCTAACTGCCCAAAATTCGGAACGAAAATTAGGGGTGAAAGAGCATGTTGGGGTAAAGGACGTCCGGGTATTTACTGATCCACGTCTGGAAATGTATTCAAGAGATCTATGAGTTGCGCCACCTCCCCGCTAGGGACTGACTAGGGACACTAAAGGGATGAGACGGATGTCACCACCGACATTGCTGGCTCCCTGAATGGGCGGACCTGGGGGCCCTGCAACTTAATAAAGCTTTTGTGTGAAACTAACGTATTGTTTTAGAAACAAATTTGGCAGCCATATAGTAACAGTGACAGTTATCTTATATTTACATTTTTTTCCATTCTCAAATCTTGAACCGTTGGAAGCTAAAATAGCTTTTGCATCTGAAGTAACTCCCGTGAAACCTAGTCAGGATTTTTATGGTGCTCCAACTACCAAAACAGAACCACAGGTGATCCCACTCATCAATATAATTAGGTCCAAAATCCATAGTGGCTGAAATTAAAGTTTGGCTTGTTGGTATATCACTAAGGAAACATAAAAAAAGTAACGCATGAATAGAAGTGACTCAACAAACCAAGAGATAACTCTCAGTGGAGGTTTGCTACCAGTAATTAAAAACAAAACATAAAACAAAGCATACAACATAAATCATGTGGCACGACTTAAAGGGGCCCTGCAAGCACTTTTTTACTGGTTTTAATTTGCGCGAACGCACTGAACGTAGTAACCAAGTGCAACTTTTCTTTACTCGAAATTCGCTTTATTTTAAAAGTAATAGGCAAATTAAAATTACAAAAACAAGCAAAAAATAACCTCCTTCATGACGTCCTTGGTTGCTTGAGTGGCCGTGAACTAGAGGAGGGGTAGTGAGCTATCCGAGCGCTCACGGCTGCCGCACTCCTAGTCGACGGCACGAGAGGGCGCCACGAAAGCATCTTTTGTATAGGCTGTATACAGCGGGCAGCCAGAGCGGCTCTCATTGCATTTGCTGTGCAAATAAACGCTAATTCTACATGACACTTCATCGGCCACAAACGACAGCAAACACGGGGTAAATATCAGTTCAGAATGGGAGCCACTTCGCGCTGCCGTACCGCGAAACAGTTATACCGCATGACAAAGCTGCTCGCCGAAGGCCTTCGGAACGCTCGGAGCCGGTCGGATCGCCCAGTCCGTAAACGACCGCAGTGCCGCCGCTTACATCCGGGACCTTTCCGTGTTGGCACCTGATCCCACTACCCCTTTCTAGTATGCGCCGCCTTTTCCACCGCTTGGTGGCGGGTATGTCGACGGGTCACTTCTTCTTTCCGTACTTTATAAACTGCATTTTCTTCTTTTCTGGTCTAAAGAAGTAAACAAAAACTACTTTTATAAATAATTGAAACGGTCCGCGCCACTTATATTTTGTATTTCGACTAAAACGAAGCTTTTAGCCGCTCTGACCAGTAGTAAGCCCAGGACCAAAGACGTCACATTTCGCGCGCTTTTGGTACCGCGGGTCGCCCCCGTCGGTGGAGGAGGTCTCCGCGTCGTTCGGTTAACATATGATGCACTTATATTTAGTTACTCTCTCCGTGCCCGCTGGCTTGCCCGAACCCCAAGAGACGTGGAAACCGCCAAAACGGTAGACGCTTAAATATGATTGCAGGGCCCCTTTAACCCACACGCATGCCACCAGCCCATAATTGGGTAGCAATCGACCATAGGTAACGGAGTTTGTGTATCAACTAAAAAAGCGGAGCAAAAAAAAAAAAAAAAAAAAAGAGGGAGAGGAGAGACACCTCCAGGTACATTGCACAGCGAGGACAATATATGATCCGCTTTTGCGTGGCCAGGCCGAGAACTGTATTTTTTTCGTCTTTTTCCGCGCTGGACCAGGTTGTGTTGGTCTCTACGGCATTGGCGGTGCGTGGGCGCAGCCATTACCATCTAGTATTGGCTGTGCAAACTAAAAAAAAACAACTAATTAACGGATTGGACTCGTTCAGTATCCTTTATATAGAGGAAAACATTTTACAGCGTGAACGCGCTTGAAACCAGAAAGCGCGATCAGCTGGCACGCACCCACGGATAACAGAAGGACCCGAGGAGGTAGGAGTTAGGTAGGAGGACCGAGTTTTCGTGCCACCTAATGAAAATGCCTCTCGCTAGGTGCCGGTAAAACTCGGCCCTCAGCCGGGAGCAGGCTCTTCCATAGGGAGCGCTCAGATGGAGGGGTCATAAGTATAGAGTTGGTCATGGATTGTGTGACGATCGCGAGTAAATCTGCGTGCTATAAAGTTTGTGGCGTTTGCTACTTTTTTTTTCTAACCTGTGCGTTAGATTTTTGTGGAATGGTAGGACCAAGACGTGTTTCTCGCATGGTCTGTCTAGCACCACCGCACTTACATCGGGAGGAAAAACAGCTTTTTTGTCAGCTCCACGCCGACCACACGTCTTTGGCCGAATATACTGAATATTTGAGTGACCACATACTAGAAATTTGATTCGCGAATCAAATTGTCCGGGAACTTTCTATTCCAGTCGAATAATTGAGTATTCGCGCACCCTCAAAAAAAAAAAAAGACTTCTGATTATCCTCAACCAATAAACAAAGGCGAGCATCCTCAGCATTCACATATGGTAGGTGGCACCTGGTGATTACTTGTGTACTATGTAACGTAGAAATAAAGCAGATATGCATATGGCGAACTGTGAACTTATAAACTGTGTGTCATGATTTACGATCTTTCTTACCTGAACCACAACTATAATAAAAAATGGAGGGAACGAGACTTGTGCAAGGAAAACAAAAAAAGCTTTCCTTGCACAAAACCACACTCGGTGTACAAATCTTAGCTTATAAAGTAGCCTACGATTCAAATAAAAGAGTGTGGCATCCTACATGCCGAAAGATGCACAAAAGTAGACACTCTGGGTTACCCAGTGCGATGTCGACGGGTGTTGCGGGAAGGTTTTCGAGTTCACTGGAGATGCTCGTTGTATTTTAAAAGCAAAGAATGATGCAGTTCAACGTCAAACCATATCACAATTTGAGAGTATCAAAAGGAAGGAAACACGAGTTGCTAGTGTTTCCATGCATTAGCAGACAAAATCAAATAAACAGTGGTGAAACTAACAAAAAGCTGCTTAGAGCAGTTTTTCTAGCAAAAACAAACAAGTTTTTAGCACACATTTGAGCTTTTGAAGAAGCCGGCTCTAGCTAATCACCTTGTAAAAAGCGATGCAAACACTGCAGTTCCTCAAAGTGCAATAAAAACTATTTTAACTGTAATTATAACATAGAAAATTATTTGCAGCATAACAATTGTTGTTCAAAGTGGTCTAACCAATGGGGAAAGCAAGTAAAAGCACAGAGCCTTGGCAAGCACCTTATTGCTTTTAAATCTCGATGCAACTACTAAATCAGTCCCATCTTCGACAACTGCAACATAACAAAACTATTTTAATATAGCGAATATACCACACATGCCAAAACACGCATTTTTCCTTGAAATGAAAATAACGGGAGGAAGACTCATGAGTATTCCTCAATTAATCGGTGCCACCGGAACAATGATTGATACCTCTCTTCCTCCCATCCAAGGCATCAATAATCGGTCCAGGAAATGGGAATGTAATATAGAGCTAAACTAAGGGTTGGACATTCTTCTCGGCAAGTGATCACTTTTTGTGCGTGGCACTGAGGAATACGCAAGTCTTGTGCCGCAAATAGTTCTCTAATTATTTTTATGTTAGTGGGAAATGCATCTTGTGACATGCGTGTCAAGTCCGTTAAAAAAAAAAGCATTCTCGGCAGTGTCCCTTGAAGTGCTGAGCAGTCTCGTCATCTTTCCGCATACTCCATACATTGTCTAGGTCTCTATATTTTGGACTGTACATCATAGTCTGTAACACTCCCGTTGTGGCCTCGAAGAACGAGGGCGCTTGTTAGAAGTGCAATAGATACTTTTTCCAACCAAAATACAGAAGTCCTACCAGAAGAAAAATAAGTTCAGTAACAGTTCTGTTTGTTTGTTTTTTTTGCATATCTTTTGGCCCATAGAGCTTGGTTTTTGCTAGGGCATTATTTCTTGCCACAACTCCTCCAGCCCCTTTGGAAAAAGATATGGAATAAACATTCTCAAGATATTGTTTTTAAATGCCTAACGAGCATGTTGGTAAAGGAGGCTCAACACAAAATAATATTTTGTTGATTTTGTGTTTATTCTTTCCTGCTGAGCTTGCTTTTGTAGCAGTATGTAGCAGGATTTGCTCTTTGGAACCGTTTCGTGCGAACTGTGCAGTAGCCTCCCCATGATATCAAGTATCAAACAAGTTCTGCTGGTAAAATCTGTTTCCAAAACTGGTAATAATCTTTCTGATCTCAGAATTTTTATTATATTGTGTGGCAAGTCGTTTTTGACTTCGACTCCCCGTGTTATACTGGAACACTTCCACTTCTGCTAAGGCTATGTGTGAGATTGAACTGTGTCTCAGTATATTCTGCGTACCATGGCACGGATGTCTAGCAAGTTTAACTCTTTTGGTACAGACGCAGGCTATCGCCACCTAAAATAATTTGTTCCTGAAAACCAGGGTAGAACGTTTGTCATTTGGAAGTAGCACCGCAGTAAAGCTGCTAAGATTGTTAAATTGTAAAACTGGAGTGATTGCAGTACGCATATACCGCAAAATACTGAGCAAGGGCCCACTCAAAGTGTGAAGATAATCGGAATCAATTTTACTTTTATATATACTGTGCATACTTTTTCAGATGTTGTGAACTTGGAGGTGGGCACTTCCATCGCTTATTAAATCAGTCCATTATTTATTAAATTGAATATTGTACAGATTCCAAATCAGTATTATTATAAACTTTTTCTTGCATTGAAAATATCTTTTTTGCCAAAAAGAAAATATATTCATGTCTATTTCCTACCTTAGGATGAAAGAAGTTACCTGTGAAACCGGGCCTGAAGACGCATGGTCAGTGCCACACTCCAGAACTACGGAAATCAGACGTTGAAATATAAAGTACCTCGTTTTTTAAATCGCCTGAGTGAGTTGAATGTAGAAGTTTTGAATGAAACCATAAAAAAAATGTATGTTCCATGTTTATGAGAGAGTGCCGCTGGAATTTGTAAACTTGGCTAAATCGATTACTTTTCCCCCTTTCCCCCCTCCCCCATCTAATGTTTGTTTTTGTGCTCTAAGTGTGATGGTGAAAAAAACATTATGTGTATGTGCATGCTGTCCTCTTTCGCTGCTGTGGGGAGGCAGAAACTCGTCAAGCAACAACTGAGTTGCATTTTTCTCTGGCTCCCCTCTCCAAACGGAGAGAAATAAAGAGTTTGAGTTTAGTGTGGAATAGGAAGATACTCAATACTTTACGGTAGGCATCTGTGTAAACTTCAGTCTGTCAACTTCCGTTTAGGCCTCATTGAAATGTTTGAAAGATTTAGAATTCCTACTAGTTTTTAGAAAAGGTTGGCCTCACAACAAAATTCTTACCTCATACACCCGGAACACAAAGTCCATTTTTTCCTTGAAGTATGAAAGAAGCATCGGGATGAGGGCGACGGATAAAGCGGATTTCAGGCCACCTTGTGTGTGTTGTTGAGCTTTAAGGAACCACTCCAGAACACCATCCTCTTTCGAGGTGCTTTGCAGGAAGGTGCACAGGACTTGAAGCTTGGCTGCTCCGCGGGCAAACAGCGCGTTCATGCTTCTTCGAGTGAGCCCGCAAAATTTAAAAAAATGGTCCTTTTGTCAAATTGGAGTCAACAACTTGGGTCAGATAATTGTAGGCTACTGCTACAAAGCCAGGATTTTATCTCGAGAAGGAATTTTGCGGGGTAAAGGGGGCTGGTAAGCTGCCACTAGGTTTAAATTTCCACTGAAAAAGGGACTGCCTCAGGTGATGGAAATTACTAAAACTCACCCCTTCCCCCCAGAAAAAAAAATCTGAATGCTTGCTTTAAGTTTGTGGCAAAGTATAGCGAATTAATATTGAAGTAAACAATTCTACCAAACCTCGTCCAACCAGTCATACAAATGATCACCCGCACTGACCAAATTAAATTGATTAGCAAACCACTATAAAACGGGATGCAAAATGCGGGTGGGCCGAGACTTAAACTCCGGGTCTCCTGGTTAACAAACAGGTATACTAACCACTCAACTACCTGACAAATCAGGAGACACGAAGTTTGAATTTAGGCCACACTCATTTTGCACTTTGTTTTTAAGTTGTTTAATATTTAGTTTAATTTAAAGGGTGTGGTTCTCCATCAGCACATCTGGTCGATTTGATTTTAGAGAACTAAAAAAATGAAGTATGTGAATGCCCTTTGACACCTTGCCTCATACAAATACAGAAACTATGGGGAACACAATAATTCCAGAGAAAAAATATTACCGTAAAATCCCGAGAGATGCCTCACCTCCGAAAGATAGCCCACCCTTATTTTTCTGCTTCATTTTCTATATATTATTTTCTAAACATCAAGATAGAGCCCACTCATAGTAATAGTAGTGTTGGGATCAATGATGGCCTCGGCGTAAATGCAGCTAGTCAGCTCTGGCGGGATATAAGCAAACGTTGCTGACTGGGAATTAGTCAACTTTGCTTCGTTGCCCCTCGCCACCAACACAAGCGTGGAAGGGCACGACCTGAAAATAGCAATTTGTAATCTCTTCTCGATTCTACACCAAAAGTTAGCCCGCTCCATATTTGCACCCGATCTGCTCTTCATGTTAGGTGGGCTATCTTTCGGGATTTTACGGTAAGTAATCTGGACCTTGTGCAAGACTAGAAAGATATTTGAAATTAAATACCATAATATAAGGATTAGTTTGTGAGTGATTAGCTTATATTAGAATGCATTATTACAAAATAAGAGCTGTGAGGGCACATAGTGTTATGATTCACATAGGTGAGTTATACAGTAAATAGATTATAGCTCTTCTGATAGCTTGTTGCCAAAATATCAAACTTAATTTACTAGAATTATTTTATGAGTGAAATGATTCTCTTTTATTTGTTAAAGATGCTCTACTCCAACTTACTACATATACCTTTCAAGGTGCTCTAGAAAGTGCTGTCTCTTGAAAAGCAGAGGCCACACTTTCTTGATCTCCAACGCAGGCATAGAGTTCACAGACAGTCTAATTTCTGGAAAACACAAAGCCATTTCAGCTGCTTGCTTGTGAACGTCTTGCTCCTGAGGAGACTTCAGTGCTTCACTCTGGAGGAATGCTTTAGCTTCTTCCATTCGTTCAGCTGGCGTGTTAACAAGCTGATACTCGATGCACCCATACTCAGTCTTCAGACTCTGTCTTTCAGGCTGGTTATCATTCATGGTCAAAGCTTCACTAAGGGTCCTTTTCAGCCCTCGCCTAGTATTTTCAAATCTGGCTTGGATTTTGTGAGCTAATTCTTCTGAAGTTGGGGCATGATTCATATCATCCATCTGTGAGTCAGCAAGCTGCCCATACATCTTCACAATGTAGTCAGCCACACACCTGATGTCTCGAGCTGATGGCCTCTGTTTAACTTTTTCCATTGAGGTCACCACCATCCTCACAAGTTCGTGAACCGTCTTTCTGTCAAGTTGCTTCCCGTTTCTCAACTGTGTAAGGACTGTTGAACTGAGGCTTTTTCAGCAGAAGGTTGCCGAGCTGACAAATTCTACTGACACAGAAAATGTTGCGTCAGGGTAAGAGGTGCCTCCTACTGGTTCAGTTACTGTCAAGTAAAAACAGAAACTAAATCAGACCAAAATCTCAAACTCAGCAGAAGGCATACACATTTTACTACAAACTACAAAACAACAGAGCAATAATATTTGGTCACAAATGCAAAAAAAAAAAACACACGTAAAACGCCAGTCAGATGTAACAGACTGCTTGTACAACAAACGGTTGCCAGCTGTATGATGGAAATGTGCTGCACAACTTCCTGTGCTATGATTTTGTCACTGTTTATCAAAAACAGTGGTGCACCAAGGTACCCTACCACAATATTTAAAAAGCGCAACGAGACACGGACAAGGAAGATAGACAGAGACACAGTTCTGTGCCTGTCTATTTTCCTAGTCAGTGTCTGATTGCAGTTTTTAAATATTATGAATAACCAACTGGCCCAACTTCCCACCCTTTCCCTAGCACCTCAGAGTTGATCATCTCATGTTGAGCAAGGACCACATCAAGTTTATTTTTTAGTTTGCATGGCTTTGTTATATTATCTTTAAGTTAACCAGATTTTACTGTGCCAGCAACTACAACTGCAATATCTAAAGGCACTGCATTCCTTTACTTTGACATGCCTTGACATGTAGACTTGTAGCGACAGAGCACTGAGCACTTTATCATATGAATTAGCATTAACCAATAATTACAGCAATTCCCACTTACATGGCCTTCAGAGACTTTTACAAACAGTCAGTTTAGTCTATTAGGAACAACCTGACCTTCAGGAAGGCTTTCCACATTCCTTTCATAAACAAGAATGGCCAATACATAAAAACAAAATTCAGCTGCTATTTCTTATTTACAAACCAGGCAACTAAATAATTAAACTCTTATAATTAGGACTGCTATTGCCTGAGGTCCATGGTGTCGTGCTAACAACAAAGGTGCTGCAATCCTGGACATGGGCATCTGCAATGTACTTAAAGGCACCCTCATCCACCTCAGTTCCATTTTCTAGATACACCTGCATAGAATAATCAGGTGACGGCATTCACTTCAGTAAACTAGGCCTATAGAATCAAGTAAAAAAATTCGGGCATAGTAATATTCCTAGTCCTGCTAGACTTCTCGCACAATATTGTGTGTCTTTTACTTTTAGAAACAGTACCATCAAGCCATATCTTAGTCGATTTTCACAAAGATGTGTTCGTTGATGAACAATACATGGAGTACAAATATTTCCCCAAAACGTGACTAAACATGATCATAGGTGTGATTGATTATACGGGCTACTAAGAACTTCTAGCTATTTTAGGTCTAGAAGCATAGCAGAGGTCATAACTGAAGGACTCTTAGCAAAAAGGATGCACACAAAACGTAACAATCAAAGTGGAAAGAAGGAACAGATTTCTTGACTTTAGATGTCTACTGTCATTTAGCCACTAACAGTTTCATGACAGGACTGCAGGCAACAAATGCTTTTTCATTATGAACCAACTTGAGGGAGATGCTAGTATTGTTTGAAACCATCGAATTTTTAAGAAGGTGACTGAGGAATGCTTGAGAAGTAGTGAGCCCGCCAAAGGCATTCTGCGAGCGAAGGGCGCTTTAGGGATAATTTATGCTGTCCCTTACGAATTTTACGCACTCTGCACACTGGTGCTCCAGTGTTGCCAACAGGCAGAGAAAAGTAAACTGTTTTGGTCTTTGTTCACATAAAGCGTCTGCACTGGCGTGGTCACTGTTAAAATGCAGCCATTTCAGATGTCGTCAGAGTACAGGGAGCAGACGAAAGCCTGACAATGCCTCCTCTGGCATGTACGGTAGGTGGGGTAACTGTCAGTCACAATTATGCATCCACTACACAGAGGCGTGGGCAGTTTGACAGGGCGAATTGTCTTTGAGGAAACTCAAGTGACGTCCCAAGTTTTCTGGCATATTTCTCGACAATGACTGCACAGTATTTTTACAAAAAACCTGGTTGGGTGGCTTGATGTAGGAATTAAGTGGGAAGGATTGTACTGCAAGCTGGTGAAGTTTAATTCTAAAGCATCCACTCATTCCTGGGTAGATGCTTTAGAATTAAACTTCACTACTCCTGGTTGTTATGCATACACCAACATTTTAGCAGTTCAGCGATTGTTGTCCATTCCACTGGAGCTTTAAAGATAGCCAGTCATTGCAAACACGAGAAGGCGTCAACAACACAAACTAACCCCCCCCCCAAAAAAAAAAAAAAAAAATTTAAACCGACAGCAAGAATGCATTTCTATGATCTGTTGATGTGAGATACTGCACTTCATGCCCAAACCGCATAGAGCATGTGCAGTGCTGCTAGCAGTCGCTATGCTTCATGCATTTAAGTGTCCAGCTTTGTGCTATGCGCATACTTGTTGTTCAGGGTATCATGCTTGCGCTTGTAGTTTCGGTTTTGCTCGCGCTTATAGTGAAATTGAGTATGAGCCAGCTTTCCGACAAATATCAGTTCGTGTACAAGCTGATGTGTGTTTATTAAGGTGCACCTTACCTTGATATCTGGTGACTCTTTACAGACACCGACCTCGATCGCTTTCTTCTTTAGGCCTTCGAAACTCTCAATGGGAGCAAGCTTTTTGACTTTACGATCACTGCTCCACAGCTTTGCAAGCATCTAAATTGAAAAAAAGTATATTTTAGACAATATAATTACTATGCACATGGAGACACATCAGACAAACATCAATTTGCATGTAACAGGTTTGACAAAAAACTACAAAGATGATCCCATATTCTTGCGACAAGGAGACTCCGAGATGGCCAACAGAAATAGTGCATCAGGGAACGAGAGTGCAAGTACCTTTGCTAGATATAGTCAACCCAGAACCTTTTACATGCCAATGTTCCACAGCCCTGCTAGCCCTGTCCTATTTGCTTTGTACAAAGTAACGAACTGGGACAAACTACTAAGGCAAACCTTTCTTTGTTTCCAGTTCTTTCCTCCTCTTCATTGCTAGTCAAATTATTTTGGCAAGCTGCCAAGCCCGCCCCCCCCCCCCCAGCAATTTAATATGTAAGCTAATGTAAATAACAAATTTCAATTTCCATATCTCACTCTTGTCCTGTTGCTCTACAGTTATCTGCAACACTATGAACACTAGAAACAGGGTTACTACCATTACTCAACTAACAAGAATGAAACAGATCTGGAGTAATTTTGATAGCATAAAGTACTGCATTACTCAAAAATTTGGCTTTTTAAGGCAGACCCATCAATGCCTATGCACCGTCAAGGATCTCGTGCGACCAAACAATAAGCTGTTTAAGTTGATGCTTGAGATGCAACTTCTAAAATGTCAAGATGGAGCAAAGGGAAGGTCCTCTGTAAAAACTGTGCTCATGTATCGTCTTTATTCAGCCAATTTTATGAAAGTGATATGCTGAAGCTTAACACTAGACCACTCAATGGACTCGTTTGGGCTTCATGCGTACATTTTGTATTTATTTGTATTTGTATTTATTTGCCATTTTGTTTTGGGGTGGCAGGGACAAAAGGTGTATTAAAACACCTGACTCATGTCCCGTACCCCATACAGGTTTCAGAGCGGCGCAGCTCTTGTAACGAACACACAGCACATATACAAATGAAACACAAGAACACAACAAAATAACAAGAAATATGTACATTTATAACGCAATGAAATGAAATGGCTGGCAGAATTTTTTTACAAGACTTTATACATGCTTGAAAATATAATCCTTTATTCTTGTTTTAAATGTATTTGCAGATCTTGATTTAGTTGCTATATCAAGAATTTGTGGATGCATATTTAAAAGTTGTGTTAATTGCTGCTTCAATGTTTGTTCCCCATAATTAGTACGTATTTGGCCTCTATCATATTCCACACATCTCAAGTTGTATTGGGTGTCTCTTAACGGAAATTGAGTAACAAAGGACTCCGTATTGCTTTTAAGATAATTAAAGGTTACTTTCGCGAAGTTGAACAATATTAGCTATTGGATAGTGAATAAATTATACTTCTTAAAATAAATGTACGTGTGATCATTATAACACAAGCATGCAATGGACCGAATTGCTTTTTTTTGGAGTACTAAAAGTTTTTCATGGTTGCTTTTTGATGTCGTCCCCCAAACCAATGAACAGTAATGTAGGTGAGAGTGCACAAGTGCACTGTATAGTTTGCGCTTAAGCCATGTTGGTAGTAAAAGTCTTAGTTTATGTAATATGCCGATTGAACGTGAGAGAGTCAAACATAGTTTAGATACATGAATTGTCCAGTATAAATTTTCGTGAAACCATACACCCAAGAACTTTATGGATTCAACTTTCTCTAATTTGTTTGAATTAAATTTTATATCGATTTCATAATTAAGTGCCGTGTTTTTGCCCTGAAAATAATATATTTGGTTTTAGAAATATTCAATTCAATCTGGTTTGTCACTAGCCCCGTGGATAGTTTGTTTAACCAATCATTTGATACACTTTCGAGATGTCTGAGGTCATTGTGGGAGAAGAAAACATTCGAGTCGTCTGCAAATAATACCATGTCCGCAAAATGCGAGATTTGTACAATATCATTAATATAAACAAGAAACAATAATGGTCCTAGAATGGATCCTTGTGGGACACCATATGCGATTTGTTGAATATCAGACTTAATGCCGTTAAAGATGGTAAATTGTGACCGAGAGCTTAAGTAACTGCATATTAATTCTAGCGCTTTGCCCCTTACACCATAGGTACTC